TCATTACAGTCATCAGACCATTAGGCAACACATTAAATACATTTTTAAAAAATACAGTTGGATACATCCCTGAATTGGTCATACCGAACTAGGGAGGCCTGATGTATGAAGCCTTATCCACGGATTCTTAACCCGTGGATTCAAGCATCCACTGCTTGAAAATATATATATAAAAAATAAAGTCCAAAAAGCAAGCCTCAATTTTGCCATTTTATATAATGGACACCATTTTACTGCACCATTGTATTTAATGGGACTTGAACATCCACGAATTTTGGTATCCACAGGGGTCCTGGAACCAAACCCCAGTGGATAACAAGGGCCCACTGTAGAATAAAAGACATTCATATTAAATATAAAGCAAAGCAGCTTCATTTATATACCGCTTCATATCGCTATGCAGCGTCTTAAGCAGTTTACAACTGTAATGTCATTGCCCCCCAACAGCTGGGTCCTTATTTTAGTGACCTCGGAAGGATGCAGGCCTGAGACAAGCCTGAACCCTGGCTAGTATTGAACTCACAACCTTGTGGTTTATGAGTGAGTGGTTGCAGTACAGGCATTTAGCCACTGCGCCACCAGGGCTTATGCATACTAGCATTAAGATTTATAAAATAAAATACCATTTATTAAATGATTTGATATAGGAAACACAATGATAAAAACAGGTTTAAATATTTAACTGGCCATTTCTTAAATGAACAGAATTCCAATACCCTCCTAACCACTAACATGCTATAATTCACATGTAATATAAAATATTAAGTGTTAATTAAAAGTTATAAAAACAACATTAAAACTAGTTAACATTTTAACCATTAAAGCCATTTATTATACATGTGTGAAAGTTAAAATCTTACACATTTTGGCAGCAGAAAAGAAAAAAATTGCATCTGCTTCCATTATGCTTTTATCAAAATCACCCAACAAATACACAAAGTACCAGCTCAGAGATCTTCCTGGGAATTTACATAGAAGAGTAATTATGGTAATCTCGACCTCCTGTCCTTATAAAAAGTAGGAGAGAAAATGATATGAGTTATAGATACTACAAAACCCTCCCCACAAAGGCAAACACAATCCTTATAGAGAATTCCCTAATAGTGACCCTCGAAGAGAGGAGATGGAATTACATTGAATCATGCTTTACCAAATGTTGCATGATATTTAGGAAGTTAATTTTTTTTTTAAGTAACACTTCCCCCACTCATGAATGAACTAAAGTCCTAGACTTAAAGGAAAATAGGTTATGGGGACAATAAACAAAATATTGTATATCAATATCTTTAATATGATGCACCAGTCAGCTGTTCCCTGATCAAGTCCTGAGGAGCAAGACAACTGAGTATTTTGTTGTTAAATGCCCTTGAGTCGATTTCGACTCATGGCGACCCTATGGATGTAGTAATTTTCTTTATCTTTCAGCACAAGCCGTTGTAATGTTGCATTCATAATTCTTAGAAGCTTATCGCATTCATTTTAAAACCGACTTACCTGATCCAGATTAAATTTTAAATCGGCCAGCATCTTGATATTATCATAAGGATTTAGCTGCTGAAATCGCCGCCCGGGTCCATCCCTGCTCCCAGGGGCACTCAGCGCACCTCTTCTCAAAGCCAGGAGTTTTCCAGTATAAGAAAATGGGTGTGACTTGCTCAAGATCACCCAATGAGTTTCCATGGGTGAATAGGGATTCGAACCCTGCTCTCCTGGCTCTCAGTACTAGATGCTGAAGATTTATGAAAGCTGCATTCAGAACTGCTCTCAACAGAGCACAGGGAGGGTCAGCAGCAGCAAGGGAGACAAGGCGGCAAAAAGACGATAGGAAAAGTAGAGGAGGAAAGTGATGGGAGGTTACGGGCAGTGGAGTATCATGCCAAGGGCATATGTGGCAGGATGAGCCTGGGGCAATGTTGAGGAATGCTATCAAAACCAGGCAACATTAAGTAATTCTGCAATACAGTGGGATCCTCGGTATCCACTGGAGTTTGGTTTCAGGACCTCCCATGGATGCTCAAGTCCCATTAAATACAATGGCATAGTAAAATGGTGTCCCTTATATAAAATGGCAAAATCAAGATTCATTTTTTTGGAATATATTTTTAAAAATATTTTCAAACCATGGATGGCTGAATATGTAATACAAAATCCATGGATTTGGAGGGTGCCTGTACTTGGTTTCTACTACTATTTCTAAAGCTTTGGATTCTGTTTGGTACATAACATACCTTACTGTTAGCCAATTTGTACATATCCTCTTCTATCTGATTGGCATAAGCCATCAGTTTCCTCCTTGCTGCTACTGAGTCATTATCTGGAGAGATGGTTTTCACACTACCAAAAGAAGAGATACACAAATCATTATAAACATTGTTAGAAGATCTGTATAAATTGCATACCCACCTACACCACTCCAAACGATTTTAAAATTAACTCAAAAGAGCTGATCTTCCATTAGGATTCTATAATCAAAATCTATGCAGAAACTGGAATAATGAGCCACAGGGTGAAGCAAAGAAATAACTATTGGGACGGAGAAGATGTGCAAGGATTTTTCCCCATGAAATATCTTCCAAATAATGAGATACAAACCAATTGTTTTCGATAATGTCTTCCTAATTACCAAGCTCCAAAATTCAAGGTCCCACCCTGTCATTTATTTATTTACTTATTTCATTTTTATGCCACCTTTCTCCCAAAAAGGGATCCGAGGCAGCTCGCAAGATAATTCTAGCAACAAGCATGCCCAATCCACAGAAAGCTGGACTCACCCATGGGACTAATACTTACCATTTGCACACTAAGCAATGGCGCTCCTCCAGCGTGACCTCCCCATGCCAAGTTTTCCTCACCTCAGTACTTGAAGGTGGCACAGACACTGAACCCCTGAGGTTTCTGGTACTGCTAGGATTTCTTAAGAGGCCGAAGAAAAGACAATTATGACAGCTCCCCCCCCCCTTTGCATTTCAAGTTCTTTCTGTAATTTAAATATCCTTGCTCATTACTATAAAAGCGGAGATATGCTTAAAGAACTGACTGCAACAATAAAGTCAACGACATTCAACTGCAATATTACTGGGGGGGGGAATAAATCCCAAGAGAAAGGGTGCTCTTTCTCTTGGGAAATGTTCAGTTGAAGAGTTCATTATTTCTAGAACTGGAAATGAAAATCAAAGTTTACTCCATTCTCGATATAAGCATGCCTTACTTTGTTGCCCCAAGTGAAGACACAATAGCCATTTCAGCCACTACACTAGGTGGTTGGTCTCTTATCTTTCCAGCAGCCACATTCATTTGTTTAGTCCCTGCAAAAACATGAGTACAGCTCAAGTATCACTCAGTTCACACACTTCCATTATCAGTGTATAAATTAATTTAAATCACCTCAGCTAGGATCCAATAATGATCTGTTGATGGAATATGTTCAGTGGGGTGGGGGTGAGGACTTAGCTCACTATCCTGCTCTTGTTTACCCTTAAAATTGGTTTTAACAAGGTACGAGAGGGAGAATAAATATCTCCACTCCCCTTGAGAATTTGGCTTAAAAATGCAAAAGCTCAAAGTACTTAAAACTGCCTCCCCATGCTAAAGCAATGTACTAGATGCACACCTTGTTTTAGTATACGTTCAGCTCCCAGATCACAGCTTCTGTTCTAAAACAAGATAGCGCCATCTCCACTTCATGTAAATATAATTTTTCTGTATAATTTCTGAGAGCATGCAAGCTGGGGAGCCAGTGTGGTGTAGTGGTTTGGGCATTGCACTGTAGGGAACATTGGACTATAACTCTAGAGATCAGGGTTCGAATCCCTACTCAGCCATAAAACCCAATGGGTGACCTTTGCAAGTCACACTCTTTCCACCTCAGCTGGAGGCAAATGCAAATCACCCTCTGAACATATGTTGTCAAGAGCATGCTGTGATAGAGTCATTTTAGGGTCACCATAAGTTTTAAATAACTTAATGACTAACAACATGGCTTATTATATCTGATACAAAAAACATGCAGGCTCCATAGGCCTCCAAACTCTAGGAAGAGCCAGCCATTAAAAAAGGCTTTTAGGGAACTATACCTGTATCTTGAGCATTCCATATCTCTGAGAATCCTGTTCTGTCGACTTCCATTACTTTCTCATCCTCCAGGGGGTCACCGGCTTTCTGCACTGCACTCAACTTCTCCAACGTGCTCACCTTCTTCTGTAGTTTACTCATCTTCTTTCCCAGGGTACTCATCTTCTTTCCCAGGACACCCATCTTCTTTTGCAGGGCACCCATCTTGTTTTGCAGGGCTCCCACACTTTCCTGTGGTGGATAAACTGGATAATCCCGCAGCTCATCCAGTACTTCTTGCAGCTCATCCAGCTCCCTGTGTGGAGCATCCCACAGGAAATCCAACTTCTTCCTCAGAAATTTCAGCTCTGCCTCCAGGGAGTTCCACAGGTTGTCCTGCAGACTGTCCACCTTCCCACGCAACACCTTCTCTCTCTCTGCCAGTACCTCCAGTTTTTTTATGGGGATATCACACAGGACATCCTCCAAGGCAACTAGCTTCTGCCATAGGGAATCCACTTCATTCTGTGGGGCATCTAACAAGTGAACTTTCAGGGTAAATATCTGGTCACAGGCCTTCTTCTTCAGAGCGTTCACTTCTTTTGAAGAGCCAAACAGCAAAACAGAGGACAGCTCATTCACCATTACTGGCAGAACCATCATCTTCTTCAGTGGAACTTTCCACAAAGCACCCATCTGCTTCTGTACAGCACCAATTTTCATCTTTAATATACCTACTTGCTGCAAAGAGATATTCTTCAAAGCATCCACCTTCTCCTGCAAGGTATCTACCTTCTCCTGCCCCTGCTTCAGTAGGACGTGCAGAAGTGTGGCAGAGTATAAGATGCCCATTCCTCTTTTTATGGCATCCATCTCCTTCAGTTGGACACCACATGAAAGCCCCACCTTTAGCAATGGGTAATTCTGCAGGGTACTCTGCAAGCTATTTACCCATCCCTGGAAGTCGGACAACTTTTCCACTGTGTCAGAGTTCCGGTTGACTTGCAGGAAACTACGCAGGGAATTAGACTCTTTTTTGAAGGGAGGCATCTCCTCTGGCAAGAATCTGTTAAAGGCTTTCTGTAGGGCAGTCAATGCTTGCAGCAGGTTATCCCACAGCGCAGACCACAAACAAATCATCTTCTTTTCCAGGACATTACTCCTCTCAGATTTCATCTCAAAAAAGGCATACTTCAGGCAGTCCAGCTTCTCCTTCAAGGCATCCACCTTCTCCTGGGAGGGATCCTGTATTTTATCAACCATCTGCTCCAGTTTGTCCATCTTTGCCCACAAAGCATCACACCTGGCACTCCTGTCTTTGTCTTCATCATAGTCATCCCTATCACTGCATTCACTGCCTTCTCTATGAGTACTGGCGTCTCCGCTCTCTTTGTCACCTTCATCATTGCCACAGTCTTGATCCTCTTGTTCATCATCAGGGTGCTGATCTGCCTGACTCTTTCGTGGATCTGAGGCCTCCCTGCCCTCTTCCTGAGGACAGGTCTTCTCAGGAGCCAGGGATGGGTGCTGGGGCTGCTGTTTTTCCTCCTGAGGGCTGCCTACCAGACACTCACTTTGCCTTGGAGGGACGGTCTTGCTGTTGCCTCCACTTCCATCTTGTTCAGCTGCCACCAGCCTTGTTGTTCTTGGAGGTTTCTTCTTCTTCCTTTCAGACTTTCTCTCACTCAGGAGCTTCATCTTGTCGATGAGAGCCAGGCCTCCCTCTGAGTAGTTCAGGACTTGGCCATCTCCGCTGCCTTCGTCACTTTCATCATCGCCATGGTCTTGGTCCTCTCCTTCTCCACCAAGCTGTCCATTGGCCACCACCACTTTGCTCTTCCATGGTCCTGAGGCCTCCCTGCCCTCTTCTTCAGGAGCAACGGATGGATGCAGGGGCTGATGTTGCTCCTCCAGAGAGCCACCTGTCAGGCCCTCACCTCTTCTTGGAGGGAGGATCTTGTTGTTGCCTCCACTTCCATCTTGCCTGGCTGCCACCAGCCTCTGGGCTTTCTTCTCCTTTTTTCTCTGGGACTTTCTCTCCCTCAGGAGCTCGATCCTGTCGATGAGGGCCAGGCACTGCTCTAAGAGGTCCAGGAGGCTCGACTGGGCTCCCTCTGGGCTCCCCGCCGCCGCCGCCTCCCACTCCTCTTGGGCCTCCCTCAGCTGCCTCAGGCACGCGCCCAGCGGGGTCCTCCCCACCGTCACCTGCCCCTTCCGCCGACCTACCTCCCTCACCGACGCCGAGACGAGGGTCTCCCGGCGCCCCTCCAGCTTCTCCCGCAG